AGTTGTCTGCTAACACCTCATTCTGAAAGGTGTTAATCCTAACCCTGGATTATAATCAGGAGTGCAATAACAGGAATGTTATTGATGCTGCAATACCAGCATGTAGACAGACAACAGATATATGAGTCTGTTGACATATATACTAAAGTGTCTCACTCTGCCCTCTCAGATAAAACAATGTCCGGTCAAATAGGAAGACAGTACTAGACCATCCTGATATCACTTACTCACTGTCACATAACCATAGAAGTTATGAGACAGCCTGTTTATTTCAGGTGCTGGATGTACCGAAAGTTCTCCAGCAAATTTCACCACTGACCCCGGCACACCCTCTGGCCAGGCTGCTCCAGCACCTACAGCTATTTCTCAGTCCAGAATCTCTATTCTTTGGCAGCCTCCGGCATCACCAAATGGCCCCAACATTAAATATGAATTGTCTCGGATGAAAGTCAGCCAGCCACTGGACAGTAAGTGACCATTATGATTGGAACTGTCAGTGTCATAACTGTGTGACTGTTGTCCTAACTGTGTGACTGTTGTCATAACTGTGTGACTGTTGTCATAACTGTGTGACTGACTGTTGCCATAACTGTGTGACTGACTGTTGTCATAACTGTGTGACTGACTGTTGTCATAACTGTGTGACTGTTGTCATAACTGTGTGACTGACTGTTGTCATAACTGTGTGACTGTTGTCATAACTGTGTGACTGACTGTTCTCATATCTGTGTGACTGTTGTCATAACTGTGTGACTGTTGTCATAACTGTGTGACTGTTGTTATAACTATATGACTGTTGTCATAACTGTGTGACTGTTGTCACAACTGTGTGACTGTTGTCATAACTATGTGACCGTTGTCATGACTGTGTGAATGTTGTCATAACTGTGTGACTGTTGTCATAACTGTGTGACTGTTGTCATAACTGTGTGACTGTTGTCATAACTGTCTGACTGTTGTCATAACTGTGTGACTGACTGTTGTCATAACTGTGTAACTGTTGTCATAACTATGTGACTGTTGTCATGACTGTGTGACTGTTGTCATAACTGTGTGACTGACTGTTGTCATAACTGTGTGAATGTTGTCATAACTGTGTGACTTGTCATAACTGTTTGAATGTTGTCATAACTGTGTGACTGTTGTCATAACTGTGTGACTGTTGTCATGACTGTGTGACTGTTGTCATAACTGTGTGACTGTTGTCATAACTGTGTGACTGTTGTCATAACTGTGTGACTGTTGTCATGACTGTGTGACTGTTGTCATAACTGTGTGACTGTTGTAATAACTGTGGGACTGTTGTCATGACTGTGTGACTGTTGTCATAACTATGTGACTGTTGTCATGACTGTGTGACTGTTGTCATAACTGTGTGACTGTTGTCATAACTATGTGACTGTTGTCATAACTGTGTGACTGTTGTCATGACTGTGTGACTGTTGTCATAACTATGTGACTGTTGTCATGACTGTGTGACTGTTGTCATAACTGTGTGACTGTTGTCATAACTACGTGACTGTTGTCATAACTGTGTGACTGTTGTCATAACTATGTGACTGTTGTCATAACTATGTGACTGTTGTCATAACTATGTGACTGTTGTCATAACTATGTGACTGTTGTCATAACTATGTGACTGTTGTCATGACTGTGTGACTGTTGTCATAACTATGTGACTGTTGTCATAACTGTGTGACTGTTGTCATAACTATGTGACTGTTGTCATGACTGTGTGACTGTTGTCATAACTATGTGACTGTTGTCATAACTATGTGACTGTTGTCATAACTATGTGACTGTTGTCATGACTGTGTGACTGTTGTCATGACTGTGTGACTGTTGTCATAACTATGTGACTGTTGTCATGACTGTGTGACTGTTGTCATGACTGTGTGACTGTTGTCATAACTGTGTGACTGTTGTCATAACTATGTGACTGTTGTCATAACTATGTGACTGTTGTCATGACTGTGTGACTGTTGTCATAACTGTGTGACTGTTGTCATAACTGTGTGACTGTTGTCATGACTGTGTGACTGTTGTCATAACTGTGTGACTGTTGTCATAACTATGTGACTGTTGTCATAACTGTGTGACTGTTGTCATGACTGTGTGACTGTTGTCATGACTGTGTGACTGTTGTCATGACTGTGTGACTGTTGTCATAACTATGTGACTGTTGTCATAACTATGTGACTGTTGTCATAACTATGTGACTGTTGTCATAACTGTGTGACTGTTGTCATAACTGTGTGACTGTGGTCATAACTATGTGACTGTTGTCATAACTATGTGACTGTTGTCATAACTATGTGACTGTTGTCATAACTATGTGACTGTTGTCATTACTATGTGACTGTTGTCATAACTATGTGACTGTTGTCATGACTGTGTGACTGTTGTCATGACTGTGTGACTGTTGTCATGACTGTGTGACTGTTGTCATAACTGTGTGACTGTTGTCATAACTATGTGACTGTTGTCATAACTATGTGACTGTTGTCATGACTGTGTGACTGTTGTCATGACTGTGTGACTGTTGTCATGACTGTGTGACTGTTGTCATGACTGTGTGACTGTTGTCATAACTATGTGACTATTGTCATAACTATGTGACTGTTGTCATAACTATGTGACTGTTGTCATAACTGTGTGACTGTTGTCATAACTATGTGACTGTTGTCATAACTATGTGACTGTTGTCATAACTATGTGACTGTTGTCATAACTGTGTGACTGTTGTCATGACTGTGTGACTGTACTTTCTGTCTTTGTTTGTTCTGATGACCTACTGGCTGTGGAGGCCATTGTTGTTGGCTGTTGACCAGAATTTTGTTATTTTTTTGGGGGGGGGGGGGGGGGGGGGGGGGGGAGAGAAAAAAAAGGGGTTAGGGGAGACAGGTCAAATGATTGGCCTGGGATGAGATAGCATGGCTGCAAATACCGCCATCTCATGTCCTGATCACTTGGTCATCTACTGCCTATGATATTCTAGACTCCTGTATTGTTGTTCAGTGTATGTGATGGCCAAACATTCTGATTTAAGATCTCCTACTGTTTGCCCATAAGGGTAAATCCATTTCAAGGCACATATGTACAAAATATACCAGGTAAATCCAGCCTGATATAGATACCAGGCAATTCTGTGTGAAGCCAAGGGGACCTACATAATATCATCTACAACTATCAAGTGTGGATTAATCTACAGAGATGTCAGCATTAAACACCCAGATGAGCCCGAGGTGTAGAAAGGATCAAGTTGCCAGACAACAACCTGGATTCTTCTTCTTGACATTCACTGGCTGTAAACTCTGGCAGCAAGTTCTGGTTGTTTGTGCACTTTTGGAGTTTGGTCTTGTATCAGGACTTGAGTTTTGTGGGCTCATCTGTTTTACATATCTCGCTTATTTGTATGCAGGCTGTTGGTTTCTTGCCTCTCAGACGAAAGCTGTCTAGGTATCCCCTCTCCACCTTTCCCCCCACTTAGGGAACTATGTGTAATGTTTGTGTACTAGAATGTGTGTACTGTCAGCTGAGTCCTGTATGGCTGGATTAATAATGGATGACTGAGTGGTTTGTTTGTTTGGACAATGGTGGATTCATAGATAGGTATGTTACAGATGATGTGCATGGATGGAATGCATGGATGGAATGGATGGATAACATTTTTGCTTGATTAGATCATAATAGTTTCATAGATATGTTACAGATGGTATTGATGGATGGATGATTGGGTAGGTGTTGAAGAATACATACACAGATGTGTTATAGATAACATGGTTTATGTTAAGCTCTTTGGATGAATTACTGATATACCGATGCCATTATTAAGATATCCAAATCTAAGTATGACTGGGAAGAAACAATTTATAAACAGCATATTCACACCGTGCTCCCAGTGCCAGACTTGGAGATTATCAAAGGCAAACTAACGTAAATGTAACACATGTGTAATGAGACGCCTGAGGATAGCCTCCAACGTAACTGTCTGAGAAAAAGTGTGTAATGAGACGCCTGAGAAAAGCCTCCAACGTAACTGTCTGAGAAAAAGTGTGTAACGAGACGCCTGAGGAAAGCCTCCAACGTAACTGTCTGAGAAAAAGTGTGTAATGAGACGCCTGAGGATAGCCTCCAACGTAACTGTCTGAGAAAAAGTGTGTAACGAGACACCTGAGGATATCCTCCAATGTAACTGTCTGAGAAAAAGTGTGTAATGAGACACCTGAGAATATCCTCCAATGTAACTGTTTGAGAGAAAGTGTGAAATGAGATGCCTGAGAATAGCCGCCAAAGTAACTGTCTGAGAAAAAGTGTGTAATGAGACACCTGAAGATATCCTCCAATGTAACTGTCTGAGAGAAAGTGTGAAATGAGATGCCTGAGGATAGCCGTCAAAGTAACTGTCTGAGCAAAAGTGTGAAATGAGATGCCTGAGGATAGCCACCAACGTAACTGTCTGAGAGAAAGTGTGAAATGAGATGCCTGAGGATAGCCGCCAAAGTAACTGTCAGAGAGAAAGTGTGAAATGAGATGCCTGAGGATAGCAGCCAACATAACCATCTGAGAGTAAGTGTGAAATGATATTATCAGACAGATTATGGGAACAACACCATGCACACAATTATTTGAGAAACACAAGATAAAATGGTTTGGTCATCTCATTAGAATGCAGCCACAACAATAACCAAAACAGATGCTATATATGAAATATGTGATGTGAAAGCCAGAGGTTGCCCTAGAAGTATTCATACATAGAGGAAATGAGAATGCTACTGGCACCATTAGTATCGAAACTCTTCACTGGCTGCTGAGGATGGGGACGGAGTGCTTATGGGAATGCCCTCAGTGCTGTGATGTCAGTTCTTGAATCAAATCAAATCTAACAAACATAGAAAAAAGAGATAAAATATGAGAAATAGAGAAAGGTGAAATGGTAAAACTTTTGTTGTAACTATATTTCTGTGGAAATAAGTGAGGTTGTCTATAATTTCCTTTAGCCACAGTTGGAGACATTGGTGTGTGGCAGAGTGTTTACAGTGGAGTGAACCTGTTCTATGAGGATACGAACCTTCCCATGTTTACAACATACGTCTACCGTATAACAGTGTTCAATGATATTGGACAAACAATAAGCCCCAACTCTACCCTGGTGACCACTTTTGGTGGCCTTCCTAGACTGTCTGCAAATGTCACCGCAGTGGCTGTAGACCACCTGAGTATCTATGTTCAACTGGACACTCCCAGGTGAGTTTTAGTTCTGATATCACCTGCCTATGTCAACTATACACTCCAATGTTTGTTTCCTATGTGATTATCATCATTATCATAATTGTGTGGCATGCCGAGTGGCATAGGCAATCATGGTCCTACAGAAACATTTGTCCTTAGTTTTTTGGATTACTTTCAACTGCCAACTATCTTCTCTGTCAACCCATCTGACATTTTGTTCCCTTGTATCAACACATGTTTTCACATTTCATAGTTATGAAAACTTTGGCTAAAATAGGTCATACATGTTCAGCTTTTTAGTCTTTTAGTCACAGTTCACTGGATTCATTTTAGGGAGACATGGATGACTTCAGAAAACAGGAAAACAAAATGGGGAAATGTAACAATGACAGCGGATACCATAGGCACACACACAAAAAAAAGAGATCACTTGCGGATGCCTTATGTGTCAGCAGTGACATCTAGAGGATATAGATAGATAACTTGTGAATGCCTTATGTGTCAGTGGTGACATCTGGAGGATATAAGGATATAGACAAATCAAGCTGTGTCTTCAAACTTCCTAGTTTTGACTACATTCTTTCACCATGTCCACTCACTTCGTATCATTATTCTATAGCCCATTTTTTGCAGAATTGTATGCTGGTTGTGAATCATTATAACAACTCAGTCCATTGTTAGGTCCCCTGTCTCATGCATTATCATGCCCTTTGGATGACTTTCATGTGCAGAAGAGGACTAAACACAATTGTCAGATACTGTAGGCTTAATAGATGTTGGAAATCTAGTTATAAATGTATAATGGTTACACTTGTCCATGGCAAGGCTCCCCAACTGTAGGAATGTGTTGCTCCAGCACCTGGGCTCGACCTGGTTGGGATCTGTCCACACCTCTTCTAAAAACAGATTTCCTACCGGGGGCTTGGCCAATGAAGAAAGGACTGTCATTTCCTTCAAAGTCAGAATTCCTAAGCCTGAGAGGTGAGCAAACAACAGTCTGCACACAATGAATCAGATCTGTTAAAAGATGTTCATTCAGCAGATATTCAGATTAGTCAAGAAGTGGATAACAGACACAACTGTTCACTCGAGTTAACAGCCAGCAAACTCAAAGGAAGAACAAGAACTCTCTTCTTCTACCTGCTAGTGCAGATGTTCCTGAAAGGTTTGTGCAACAGTCTCAGTGAGTGAACAGTCTGTCAGTGGAGGGACACTTATCAACAGTGTCAGTGAGTGAACAGTCTGTCAGTGGAGAGACACTTATCAACTGTGTCGGTGAGTGAACAGTCTGTCAGTGGAGAGACACTTATCAACTGTGTCAGTGAGTGAACAGTCTGTCAGTGGAGAGACACTTATCAACAGTGTCAGTGAGTGAACAGTCTGTCAGTGGAGAGTCACTTATCAACAGTGTCAGTGAGTGAACAGTCTGTCAGTGGAGAGACACTTATCAACAGTGTCAGTGAGTGAACAGTCAGTAGAGAGACACTTATCAACAGTGTCAGTGAGTGAACAGTCTGTCAGTGGAGAGACACTTATCAACAGTGTCAGTGAGTGAACAGTCAGTGGAGAGACACTTATCAATAGTGTCAGTAGGTGAACAGTCTGTCAGTGAAAAGACACTTATCAACAGTGTCAGTGGGTGAAAAGTCTGTCAGTGGAGAGACACTTATCAACAGTGTCAGTGAGTGAACAGTCTGTCAGTGGAGAGACACTTATCAACAGTGTCAGTGAATGAACAGTCTGTCAGTGAAAAGACACTTATCAACAGTGTCAGTGAGTGAACAGTCTGTCAGTGGAGAGACACTTATCAACAGTGTCAGTGAGGGAACAGTCTGTCAGTGAAAAGACACTTATCAACAGTGTCAGTGAGTGAACAGTCTGTCAGTGGAGAGACACTTATCAACTGTGTCGGTGAGTGAACAGTCTGTCAGTGGAGAGACACTTATCAACAGTGTCAGTGAGTGAACAGTCAGTGGAGAGACACTTATCAACAGTGTCAGTGAGTGAACAGTCTGTCAGTGGAGAGACACTTATCAACAGTGTCAGTGAGTGAACAGTCAGTGGAGAGACACTTATCAATAGTGTCAGTAGGTGAACAGTCTGTCAGTGAAAAGACACTTATCAACAGTGTCAGTGGGTGAAAAGTCTGTCAGTGGAGAGATACTTATCAACAGTGTCAGTGAATGAACAGTCTGTCAGTGAAAAGACACTTATCAACAGTGTCAGTGAGTGAACAGTCTGTCAGTGGAGAGACACTTATCAACAGTGTCAGTGAGGGAACAGTCTGTCAGTGAAAAGACACTTATCAACAGTGTCAGTGAGTGAACAGTCTGTCAGTGGAGAGACACTTATCAACAGTGTCAGTGAGGGAACAGTCTGTCAGTGGAGAGACACTTATCAACAGTGTCAGTGAGTGAACAGTCTGTCAGTGGAGAGACACTTATCAACAGTGTCAGTGAGTGAACAGTCTGTCAGTGAAAAGACACTTATCAACAGTGTCAGTGAGTGAACAGTCTGTCAGTGGAGAGACACTTATCAACAGTGTCAGTGAGTGAACAGTCTGTCAGTGGAAAGACACTTATCAACAGTGTCAGTTTGTGTGAACAGTCTGTCAGTGGAGAGACAACTTATCAAACATTGTGTTTGTGAGTGAACAGTCTGTCAGTGGAAAGACACTTATCAACAGTGTCAGTGAGTGAACAGTCTGTCAGTGGAAAGACACTTATCAACAGTGTCAGAGAGTGAACAGTCTGTCAGTGGAATGACACTTATCAACAGTGTCAGTGAGTAAACAGTCAGTGGAGAGACACTTATCAACAGTGTCAGTGAGTGAACAGTCAGTGGAGAGACACTTATCAACAGCGTCTCTGTTTCCATAATTGACACACATTGCATAATTATCCTACTTTATCTCTGTTGAATTCAACAGTCAGCAGGTGTTATAGGAAACAGGGTCATTTTTGTAGATGAGCTTTCATAGTTAGGGCAGTCTGTGGAATATATTTTGTGTTCTCTTGACTACAGGGTGAGTCAGAAATATGGCTACATGTATAATTTCCTATGTTTAACCAAACTAACAATACACAATAATATAGCAATACAGAGTCAGTCACTTCAGTGCTTCAAACTATCTGCATGTGACATCTCAGCATAATTGGCAATGCAGGTGTAGAACTGCAGGGACAAGTTCCAGTGATATTTGTTTGTGTAGATCAGGTCCTGTAGAACTATAGGGACAAGTTCCAGTGATATTTGTTTGTGTTGATCGAGTCCTGTAGAACTATAGGGACAAGTTCCAGTGATATTTGTTTGTGTTGATCAGGTCCTGTAGAACTATAGGGACAAGTTCCAGTGATATTTATTTGTGTTGATCAGGTCCTGTAGAACTATAGGGACAAGTTCCAGTGATATTTTTTGTTGTTGATCAGGTCTTGTAGAACTATAGGGACAAGTTCAAGTGATATTTGTTTGTGTTGATCAGGTCTTGTAGAACTATAGGGTCAAGTTCAAGTGATATTTCTTTGTGTTGATCAGGTCCTGTAGAACTATAGGGACAAGTTCCAGTGATATGTGTTTGTGTTGATCAGGTCCTGTAGAACTATAGGGACAAGTTCAAGTGATATGTGTTTGTGTTGATCGGGTCCTGTAGAACTATAGGGACAAGTTCCAGTGATATTTGTTTGTGTTGATCAGGTCCTGTAGAACTATAGGGACAAGTTCCAGTGATATTTGTTTGTGTTGATCAGGTCCTGTAGAACTTTAGGGACAAGTTCCAGTGATATTTTTTTGTGTTGATCAGGTCCTGTAGAACTATAGGGACAAGTTCCAGTGATATTTGTTTGTGTTGATCAGGTCCTGTAGAACTACAGGGACAAGTTCAGAATCTAACTCTTCAAGTAGAGAGCAACATCAGCAGCACAACGGTGTACCCAAACACTACACAGCAAAACTATGTGGTCACAGGTCTACAGCCCAACACACAGTACCAGGTGACTCTAGTGGTCACCATCTTTGGTGGGGCTTCCATCAGTAGTCAGCCAGTGTTGGTGACCACCAAAGATGGAGGTGAGTTTATATTTGCTCATGTGTTGTCATCATCATCATCATCATCATCATCATCATCATCATCATCATCATCATCATCATCATCAACAATCACCAGCTTCACCATCATCAATAAAACAGTCATTGCCATCATCATGTTGTGTTGATCAAACTTAAACTAGTTTGATGTTAGCTACTTGTCTGGCATCATGTGTTGATCAAACGTGAACTAGTTTGATGTTAGCTACTTGTCTGGCATCATGTGTTGATCAAACTTGAACTAGTTTGATGTTAGCTACTTGTCTGGCATCATGTTGTGTTGATCAAACGTGAATTAGTTTGATGTTAGCTAATTGTCTGGCATCATGTTGTGTTGATCAAACGTGAACTAGTTTGATGTTAGCTACTTGTCTGGCATCATGTGTTGATCAAACTTGAACTAGTTTGATGTTAGCTACTTGTCTGGCATCATGTTGTGTTGATCAAACTTGAACTAGTTTGATGTTAGCTACTTGTCTGGCATCATGTTGTGTTGATCAAACGTGAACTAGTTTGATGTTAGCTACTTGTCTGGCATCATGTTGTGTTGATCAAACGTGAACTAGTTTGATGTTAGCTACTTGTCTGGCATCATGTTGTGTTGATCAAACTTGAACTAGTTTGATGTTAGCTACTTGTCTGGCATCATGTTGTGTTGATCAAACGTGAACTAGTTTGATGTTAGCTACTTGTCTGGCATCATGTTGTGTTGATCAAACTTGAACTAGTTTGATGTTAGCTACTTGTCTGGCATCATGTGTTGATCAAACTTGAACTAGTTTGATGTTAGCTACTTGTCTGGCATCATGTTGTGTTGATCAAACTTGAACTAGTTTGATGTTAGCTAGTTGTCTGGCATCATGTGTTGATCAAACGTGAACTAGTTTGATGTTAGCTACTTGTCTGGCATCATGTTGTGTTGATCAAACGTGAATTAGTTTGATGTTAGCTACTTGTCTGGCATCATGTCGTGTTGATCAAACTTGAACTAGTTTGATGTTAGCTACTTGTCTGGCATCATGTGTTGATCAAACTTGAATTAGTTTGATGTTAGCTACTTGTCTGGCATCATGTTGTGTTGATCAAACTTGAACTAGTTTGATGTTAGCTACTTGTCTGGCATCATGTTGTGTTGATCAAATGTGAACTAGTTTGATGTTAGCTACTTGTCTGGCATCATGTGTTGATCAAACGTGGACTAGTTTGATGTTAGCTACTTGTCTGGCATCATGTTGTGTTGATCAAACGTGAACTAGTTTGATGTTAGCTACTTGTCTGGCATCATGTGTTGATCAAACGTGAACTAGTTTGATGTTAGCTACTTGTCTGGCATCATGTTGTGTTGATCAAACGTGAACTATTTTGATGTTAGCTACTTGTCTGGCATCATGTGTTGATCAAACATGAACTAGTTTGATGTTAGCTACTTGTCTGGCATCATGTTGTGTTGATCAAACTTGAACTAGTTTGATGTCAGCTACTTGTCTGGCATAATGTTGTGTTGATCAAACTTGAACTAGTTTGATGTTAGCTACTTGTCTGGCATCATGTTGTGCTGATCAAATGTGAACTAGTTTCATGTTAGCTACTTGTCTGGCATCGTGTTGTGTTGATCAAACTTGAACTAGTTTGATGTTAGCTACTTGTCTGGCATCATGTTGTGTTGATCAAACTTGAACTAGTTTGATGTTAGCTACTTGTCTGGCATCATGTCTGTAACTATAGGATTATAGCATGCAGGAAGATATAGAGATAGAAAGAGAGAGAGAGAGAGAGAGAGAGAGAGAGAGAGAGAGAGAGAGAGAGAGAGAGAGAGAGAGAGAGAGAGAGAGAGAGAGAGAGAGAGAGAGAGAATGCAAGTGATTTTTTGTAATCTTATTCAAGTCATTTCTGTGTTTTTTGTTATGAAAATGAAAGTGACCCATTTATCTGTGGAGTTTTGCAGGGTTTCAATGGTTGCATCTAACATGCCTAGGAACTAACTCATTGCGGAGCCATTACTGCAGCCTTCTCTCTACAGAAAGCTTTAACTGAAGCTGTTAGGCAGATGAAGATGTTGATCACGACAATGATAATAATGAAGAGAGGACTGTGCTATTACTGACCTCTGACCTCTTGCCACAATTTAAGAGACAAGGAAGTCACTTGTCATTATAACAATTGCAGACAGCGATTCTGTTGCGACTCATCTGTTGTCATAAACAATTAACTGTTGAAAATCTCCCTGTACTCACAGCTCCTGCAGGTTTGAACCCACCCCGTCTGTCAGTGGTTAGTCAGACAGCCTTGAGAGTTTCCTGGACAGCACCCTCTCAGCCTAATGGGGAGATTATCTCCTACAGCATCCTGGTGAACCAGAGAAGGATTGACACAGGCTTCAAGCTGCCCGGCTCTGTGATAGTTGACGGTCTCCAGCCATACACAGTCTATGATGTTCGGGTAAGACACTGGGGAACACTTATTTCATATTGTGTATCACTGTTATAACTGGAGATTATCAGTGTGTTGAGCATCGTTGTCATGCACCACGTCCCCTGTGGACAGTACATTTGTTGCTTACTAACAGTTTGTGTGTATCCTTAAACCTTGAAACATTTGTCTTTTAACACATATTTTTTCTTGTCCTACCAATTCAATACTCCTCTTCTTGTCCTACCAATCTCTGTAATATTTAAGTTGTATTGTTTTAGATTATGAACTCAGATCAAAGCCTTCACTGTGCACACGTGTTTGTTTTCTTGTGTACACTCCTGTTCAAAGACTGCACTGTGTACACCTGTTTGTTTTCTTGTGTACTCTCCTGTTCAAAGACTGCACTGTGTACACATGTTTGTTTTCTTGTGTACTCTCCAGATCGAAGGCTGCACCGTGTACACCTGTCTGTTTTCTTGTGTACTTTCCTGTTCAAAGACTGCAATGTGTACACCTGTTTGTTTTCTTGTGTACTCTCCAGATCAAAGGCTGCACCGTGTACACCTGTCTGTTTTCTTGTGTACTTTCCTGTTCGAAGACTGCACTGTGTACACCTTTTTGTTTTCTTGTGCACTCTCCAGATCAAAGGCTGCACTGTTTACACCTGTTTGTTTTCTTGTGTACTCTCCAAATCGAAGACTTCACTGTGTACACCTGTTTGTTTTCTTGTGTACTCTCCAGATCGAAGGCTGCACCGTGTACACCTGTTTGTTTTCTTGTGTACTCTCCAGATTGAAGACTGCACTGTGTACACCTGTTTGTTTTCTTGTGTACTCTCCAGATCGAAGGCTGCACCGTGTACACCTGTTTGTTTTCTTGTGTACTCTCCAGATTGAAGACTGCACTGTGTACACCTGTTTGTTTTCTTGTGTACTCTCCAGATCGAAGGCTGCACCGTGTACACCTGTTTGTTTTCTTGTGTACTCTCCAGATCGAAGACTGCACTGTGTACACTTGTTTGTTTTCTTGTGTACTCTCCAGATCAAAGGCTGCACTGTTTACACCTGTTTGTTTTCTTGTGTACTCTCCAGATCGAAGGCTGCACTGTGTACACCTATTTGTTTTCTTGTGTACTCTCCAGATCGAAGACTGCACTGTTTACACCTGTTTGTTTTCTTGTGTACTCTCCAGATCGAAGGCTGCACTGTGTACACCTGCACCATTAGCAACAGCACATTAGGCACCACTGCTGAAGCTGTGCCCCAAGGGATGGCTGCTCCTGATGTCTCTGCTGTCAATGCTACACAGGTACAAGACAGGCTTTTGTTGTCTCTGCTGTCAGTGCTACACAGGTACAAGACAGGTTTTTATTGTCTCTGCTGTCAGTGCTACACAGGTACAAGACAGGCTTTTGTTGTCTCTGCTGTCAGTGCTACACAGGTTCAAGACAGTTTTGCATTGCCACCATCATCATGTTGCAAGTTGTTTACAAAATAATGCTACCATAATGCTTTTCAAGTGCCCATAAGTTTATACAAATGTGACTCTAGCCATGTATGCCTGATGTGCCACTGGTGGGCAAAGGGACCATATTGTTACATGACAGCAGGCCAGTATACAGTCAGCAAGTCACCATGGCAACAAACTCTTTACACACAACAGATGGGTCATCTCCAAGACATTGTAATCTGGCAATGCCCATTTAAAAGCTTCAGCCACAGAAAGACGCAAAGGTCTTTGATACAGTCAGTAGAGGAACTCACAAAGACCTTTGATACAGTCTGTAGAGGAGCTCACAAAGGCCTTTTATACAGTCGGTAGAGGAGCTCACAAAGACCTTTGATACAGTCAGTAGAGGACCTCACAAAAGCCTTTGATTCAGTAGAGGACCTCACAAAGACCTTTGATACAGCCAGTAGAGGAGCTCACAAAGACCTTTGATACAGTCAGTAGAGGAGCTCACAAAGGTCTTTGATACAGTCAGTAGAGGAGCTCACAAAGGTCTTTGATACAGTCAGTAGAGGAGCTCACAAAGACCTTTGATACAGTCAGTAGAGGTGCTCACAAAGGCCTTTTATACAGTCGGTAGAGGAGCTCACAAAGACCTTTGATACAGTCAGTAGAGGACCTCACAAAAGCCTTTGATTCAGTAGAGGACCTCACAAAGACCGTTGATACAGTCAGTAGAGGTGCTCACAAAGACCTTTGATACAGTCAGTAGTCGAGCTTCACTGGGTAGAAATTAAAAATCCCTAATCAGGAATACTGACAAGGAGCTCACAAAGACCTTTGATACAGTCAGTAGAGGACCTCACAAAGACCTTTGATACAGTCAGTAGAGGACCTCACAAAAGCCTTTGATTCAGTAGAGGACCTCACAAAGACCTTTGATACAGCCAGTAGAGGAGCTCACAAAGACCTTTGATACAGTCAGTAGAGGAGCTCACAAAGGCCTTTTATACAGTCGGTAGAGGAGCTCACAAAGACCTTTGATACAGTCAGTAGAGGACCTCACAAAAGTCTTTGATTCAGTAGAGG